GAAGTGTTTAAACAGTGTCTTTATAGTCAACACTGACCTTTTTGGCAGAGAAGGTTGTCTGCTTCTGTTTGAGAGGTCCATTCGTCTTTACTGACTTTTCTGTAGCTCTGTTGACAGTTCCCAGAGCCTTTCTGGCAGCTCTAGGTAAGGCTGGTGGAGCATCAAACATTTTGCCAACGCGTGGTGTTGAATCCTGAGATCTCCCATCTAAAGCTTTGACTGCTGAAGAAAAAGGACCATAAGATTATTCCAGCAGTAAACATCTGAGCAACTTGAAGGCTGACTGTGTATATCAACTTGGCCTAATTCACACTCCCAAACGCAACCCCCATTTATGACAGTGTACCCTCTTAAATAATCTCATTCAGTTATTGAATAGGAAAAAGAGACTCCTCACAGGCATGTTACAACAGCAGTACAGGCATACAGACCAAAGCCATAAAGTGAGTATCGCGATAATGCGAGTAATAATCTTTTTGCCGGTGGAGGGTCTTCCCTTCAATTTGCAAAAACTGCAACATCTGCAAGGCGCAATAAAAGGAGGTATGCCTGTATTCAATAAACTTGACTCCAACTGCAGACAAAGAACACAAAAAGCCTGCCTAGGCTACAGGCCACATCCACAATTGAGGTACAATACCTGTGTATCTGATTGCAGCCTGCATACTTACAAGGCCCAGACCCCAGCTTCAGCCGGTCCTTAGGAGCCACACGGGTGCCGGGTTCTCCATTTTCCTTATCCACAAAGATCACAGTAGCCATTCTGGATTAACTAGGGTTGTGAGATACATATTAGACCCTGGGGGTTAGGAAAGACGATTGAACCTAAGGTGTAGCACAGACCAAACTTCCCACACTGGGCACGTCCGCGCAAAAACAAAGGCTATGCAGACGGAGAAAAGACCGATCTTTCTCCGTCTGCATAGCCCTTGTTTTTGTCTTTTCTCCCTCTGCATAGCCCTTGTTTTTGCGCGGACGTGCCCAGTGTGGGAAGTTGGGTACATAATCCGGCTCTTAACTCTTGAAGCCTGCGTCAGAGGCTCTAAATTCCAGAAGGGTTGGCCGTTTGGGGCTGGCAGAGGCCCTGGTAGTCAACGGAACTGAACCGTCGTCAGTTCTGGGTCGCGGGTGAAGTCCAAGGCCACGGCTCAACCCCGATCGGCGCTTGTAGACTACCGGGGGGAAGGCCGAAGCCCCCAGGGCCCAACATCCCCAGCCCCCGGCCCTCGGTCCTCGCCCCCGGCCCCCCCGCCCGCTTCCTCCGTCGCCAGACCCGACCCCCGCCTGCACCCCGGCCCGACCACTCGAGACCTCTTCACTCACCCGGGTTAGGATCAACAGCTAAAATCATCCACTATTCAGCCTCCAACGGTCGCGCCACGCTCGTCATTTGAACCACAAATCACGTTGCTATTGGCTCATCCACTCAGGGGGCGGGACCGGAGTGGGGCGGAGGCTCCCAGGAAGAACCAATGGGAGGAACCTGAACTCCTTGGGCTACGCCCCGAAAGCTTTTTCCCTGGAACTTGACAGTTTGCTTGTGAGGAAGAAAAAAAAATCCAAACTCCCGACACCTTAATCATGGACTTTTAGGAGTTTATTTAAACTGCTCCCCACACAGATAGAAGGGGAGTAAATATAGTCTCCAACTCCAAGAAATAAACAATTATTATGATTCTTATGATATCAAGATAACAGAGTCTTGTTTTTTTTCCTGAGACACTTGGGTGGCCAAGATGTTGTTAAATGAAAAAAATTGTGCGGCTCAAAAAGTTGAGAAGTCAGAACTATTTTCCTAAAGTCTTCAACTAATCAACTATTCATCCAGAGAGTAAAAAGACCAGATCAAATAATAAAAAAGAGGCATCCTGAAGGAAAGGCATTGTAGTCTTCAGAAAAATAACCGAGGAAAAAAATGGGTACATAATATTTGTATTTCAATTAGAGATATAAAATAATACATATACTATAGTCAGGTGGGGGAAACAACTCATATTAGGTCTAAAGAACACTAGAAGAGCAGAATTAAACACTAAGAAGAAATGTAAGTACAGATAGATCAAACAGCAATCTTTGAGTCCTGTTATGCTCTGATTAAGAATGGATTAATTATTCCTTAATTGCAGGCCTCTCCTCAATGTTTCAGGCTGAGATGCTGCTGTTTCTATTATAGCAACAGGAATCTCTCTGGCTTAGAAACAAAATGATGATCCTAATGAATACATAATTCAGGCTTCCTTAAAAATTCTATTATTTAATAGGAACTGGGATAGACATGGTTCTCAATATATGCCAGCTCATCGGCCATTCTTCGCTGGCATTTCAGGACCAAAGTTGATTGAATATTCAATCAACAAACATTCAAACAACAAATGTTGAATGATGGGCATTGTGCCAGAATCAAGAAGATCCTAATTCAAGAAGGTGAAGAAGAGGACAAAAAACCATGGGTACCTTTATTGCCCCTTCCTTGTCCTTTTTCTATGTACCCCCACCCTTCCCCTTATTCTCTCCCTGCATCTCCTTCTACATGTTACTCCACCTTACATCATTGGCACACAAAAGTGTTCACTTTGAAACTAAATCTGTAAACACCTACAACTTCCAAGTGAGGGTTCTGTGTCCTAAGGTCTTTGGCTGGAAGGTTTATATCTCCCCAGGGTAAGTCTTCCCCTTACAACAGAAAGCACTGCACTGTCTCCCAAGGTCATGCAGTAACTGTAAAATGTCACAACCACTACTTCCTCCTTGAGTGACTACTTTTTCTTACTAAGGACGCCTCTAATCCACCTAGTTATTCCAAACTACTAGTGGGGATAACCAATTGCTAAACCACCCTCACCTAGATCCTAATCAATCCCAGGGTACCCTAATCCAGATTTACAAACAGTGGCTCACCCAGAACTGATCCCTGCTTCCTTAGACCCTCCTCAGAATCAATCCTCCAGGGGGGAACCCAAACCTTACAAGATTCTTCCCACTTGTCCAGTTTCTGCCTGGTGGTTTTAATTTAATAGGCCTCAAACACTTCCAAGCAAATTTCGGTAATTGTTTTAAGGAGATAAAAACCAAGTGTGGTTGATTCAGAGATTATGTACTCACTTTCAGGCTATTCTCTGAAACCTTCTAGTCTTTCATCTATTGCCCTGTAAAATCAAAATTAATATTTGCATTCCTAAATTCTAGGCACTGCAAATTCTTAGGAAATAAGAAAAAGATAAATTATACTATAATGGGCTATTACTGAGGCAAGAATGTTAGCTATTTTCACTGTTACCTTGAAAGGAATACATGTTATCTTGAAAAACATTTTTTTTAAAAGACCAGAACAGAAGGGTAGGGCAAGGGAGCTACTAACAAAAGAATTATTTTTGGGGCCTGGGCCTGGATATATATATATATATATATATATATATATATATATATATACACACACACATATATATATATATATNATACTAGGAATTCATCTATTCTTTTTCAAGCCTGGTGAAAACCCAGAAGCCAAAAAGGAATTAAGTGATAGTGACTATTTAATTTAAAACCATTGCATTGCAAAGAAAACCATGGAGACAAAAGACTCCAGAGGAAAGAAGTGTGCAACCCAACAGGCTATTTTCCTTTATCCAGAGAGAGAGAAGAGAGAGGGGAGAGAGGGGGGAGAGGGGGGAGAGAGAGGAGAGAGAGGAGAGAGAGGAGAGAGAGGAGAGAGAAGAGAGCAGAGAAGAGAAAAAGAAAGGAAGTCACAAGATCAGAGGAAAACAAAGATACAAACAGGAAGTTAAAAAAAGAACACAAATATACTCACACACACCTCACTTTAAAACAAATTAGATACCCATTGCCTTTCTGATAAAGATTAGAGTTTTAAAACATCTGCAGTTGGAGAACGAGGGTGGAGGGGGCGGCATCCTCATCCTTCAGTAATTTATGCTATTTTAAAGGGCAACTTGGCAATATCTCTCCTGTGAAACAGCATATTGTAGTCCTCTTTCCTGGTCAATATGCACAAATCTACCTCATTTTCCTTAATAGCTAAGTGGTAATCATTAGCATGGATGCACTACATGTTATCAAATGTACATTTTATCTCACCCTTTGAGACTCAGCAATCCTAGTGTACTCTCCGGATACACTCACAAACGCACAACAATGTGATTTCCAGAATACTAACTGCAGAATTGTCTGTAACGTATAAAAGCCAGAAACAACCTGGATGTGTACTCGCAGAATGACTAAATACCCTGGGATAAAAGGGCAAAACATCCAGCTGAGAAATCTACAAGGCCCTGCATGACCTGCCCCCACCGCTTCCCCTGTATCATCCTTCACTCTGCCTTTCAGTTTCCCAGAACCACGTGATCCTGCATCTATCCCAGGATCTTTGCACACACTTCTATGTGCAATACCCTTGCCTTGCCCTCCCTTCTTCACCTTAGCTATCTCCTTATACCTTTCAAGACTCCACTTTGTGTCATTTCCTGAGAGAAAGCTTCCCTGCTGTTCTAGGCTAGGTTCAGTTCCTCCTAACAGGCCGTTTTCTCCTAGTTGGTTCTGTGTTTGACTTTCCCTCCAAGCTGTGGGCTCCCTCAGGGGGAGACCCATCTCATAAACAAAGCTTAACAATGCTTGAAAAGCTGGTTCTATCACAGATAATATTTCAGATACATGTAACAGGTTGTAGGAGTAAAAAAAGCACACGTTGTCACTGGCTATATGGATTTTTCAGACATCGTTCAACTTGATATAAAGCCCACTTTCTAAAAGGCTTGCTAGGACTGTCCACTTTAAATTCGTTCAAGGTTAGTGAACACTTCTCTCTCCTAGGTGGTAAGTTTTTGAGGGCAGTAACAATGTTCTCCACATCGTTGCTTCAATTCCCCTTCTGACCTAAGATGAGACGTCAAATAAATCCACCAAGTACTGGGTTGTCGGAAAAGTCATGACGTATTTTTTTGTTTTTTGTTGCAAAAATGCGTCATGACTTTTCCGACAACCCAATATATTTGTTCAAAGCAACCCAGGTTCAGACAGTC